AGATAAGGGCTTTTTGTTTGTACAATCTAGGTAACCTGAGTATAATTTTGTGCATGCCTCATCAATGAAAAGGTGGCATGAAATACAGGCTGCAGTTTTGTCATAATTTTCAGGTATACCACATTATTTGACATTTTTTTCCACACATCCAAAAGTAGATTGCTCAAATAAAGTCATAGTTTACTATGTAAAATTTGTGCTCCTTTATGATTTGGTCATTTCAAAAGTTTTAGGTAAAATGCAAACTTTGTGTTAATATATTTAAATATTAAATATCTTATTAAAATATCTTTAGCAGTTTAGTTTGGAGCAGGTTTTGCAGGGCTCATCTTTATATATTTCAACATTTTTCTATATGGTTTATAAAGCAAAAAACTCAAATCCTTCCTCGGCTGCCCCAGTTCCTATTTTCACAAAACAGGTGTATAACTGATTTTTTTGTGTCGATATTCCTAGTATTGGTCTATCGTAAACATAATATGCAATAGTTAAAAAATACATCAGTTTGTACAATATCAAATTAATTAATTAATTATCCTTGCATTATTCAGAAAAAAATGACCTTAGTAAAATTTGAATATTGGATTTTTAAAAATTGATTGTATTAGTCCCCAAGGCAAAGTACACATTTTTAATTAAAATCATATCAATATCAAATGTTACCCCTTTTTTGGTGAAAAACCATGTGAATCTGTATACAGTATCACACAAGCAGTCAGAAGGGAAAGGGTTACTTTGCAGAGCACCAAGCCATCTGGCTGGGCTGGTTTGGTATAATCGAGCAGATTATGTTCACAAGACTCAGAGTTTTAAGACTCCTCACCCATAGAGCAACTCAGAAATCTTCCTACAAAGCTAGAAAAAGTCAACTTCTTTTTTTTTCTCAACTCTGAATGAATAGACTTCCAGAAAACTACAACTTCATGTTTCTTCACAGACTGATGCGGATGCCATGGTTAATCCAACCGCCACGGTAAGACAAAATACCTATGATCTGGAAGGCAGTGTGCAGACCAGAGAACAGGCATAAACTAGGGGGCTCTGAGAATATTAAACTTCAATGAATCTATTGTATTCATACTTTAAATTAGATTTAAAAAAAAAAAAAGTTGAAATATAAATAATATAAAATGTAGATTGTCTAGATATTAAAAAAATGTTTTAGTTGCAATGAATGTCACTACTAAGACTAAGGAGACATATTTTTGAGTTAAGGAGCAGTTGGTGAGCAAAAAGCAAACAATTTAAAAGAGAGAAGAAAATTAATTATTTTTTTTAGTTCACAGGAGGAATGCAGAACCAGCTCTAACAGAGCTTCTACACCCCAGAGGCAAGTTTTAGCCCTTGACAAAGCAGTCAAAATGTCGTTTCTTTCTCTGTTTCTCTGCTCAGGTAATGCACTTAAGCTTCCAGCTTAGCTACACATTTGCCACCATTGTTTGCATAGAATTTTTTTTTTTTTATATAACACACAGTTCCACATGTGCTGGATACTGTAAGTGTTCCTGCGGAGTGCAGTGATAAGGTTATTTACTATTGCATTAATCTCTAGGGTATACTAATTCTGAACATACCATTTCCACAGGCATAAACTGTTACTTAATAGAGTGTGGTATCCAAAAATAACGTCCTGTTTCTTGGGGACATGTCAAACTGTTTTATTGCAGGATTTTAGTTTTAAAAAAAAGCTCTTTACTTAAATATTATTACAGAAAAAATACTCTGAAATGTTTTTCTTTTTTTCCGTTTAATGGCAAAGAAGTCAATTTTCAAAGAATAATTCACAGCTGTAAAAGACTTTGTAAACTAGTATTTAAGGTTTGCCATCTGGGCAGCAGCTAAGGTTGTGTATTTGAGTTTGTTTGCTCAAGGGTCAGGTCACTGTTAGATGTTCCATGCATAGAATCAGTTTGTACAGAATGGTTGTGTAACCAATGTCACCAATGTTTAGTGATAAATGTAACCCTTTTGATTGCAAGGCAGCGTGGTAAGTTTATAACAAAAATACTGGAAGTGTGAAATCTTTGGCATGCACAATCATAAATTTGAGTGATAGCACAGTTGTTTCTACATGCATGGGCATAATAGATGGTTATTATGACTAAGTGCTAAAGGGAAGCTAGGAGTGTAATAACGATGAATGATTTCAACTAATTACCTTGCTGGCTTGGAAAACCATTAAATGAAGTGTAAGTGTTTTTGCAATCATTAACTTGAATGTGAGGATTCCATACGGTGACTTGGCTTGCATTTTCTTTTTCTAATTTTCTCAATGATATAATTTAAGGCTATGGACATACACTGTACTGGAATCTCCTTTAGTAATTCCTCACTAATAGGATTGTACTGGATGTGCGATGTAGTCACTAGCAGTGTTGAAATTGTGTCATGTGTTTATTTATTTTTAGATTAGAGAAATGCAATTTTGAGGTTTCCTAAGTTGCTGGATGACAGGTTGTAAGAATTAAATCTTCCATTTTTCACACCAAAACTTTTAGCTCACCTATTTAAATCAGAAGTTATTGTGTTTTTCCCTACTTTTTGGTAATTAGACTATAATCACTTATATTCCTTGAGTTGTAATTTGCTAAAAATTAGGCAAAAATGATGTCTGGTTGCAGAGGATGGGGTAATAGGGGAGTGGCCATATATTTGGTAGAGGAAGTCTTTGCAGAGTTAACTTTATTGGGTACCCCTTTAAAATGCAACCAGGCCCCTCTAGAGTACATTAACTACTGGTAAATGTTAATACTGGCAGGTCTGTGAACAGGTGTTGTGCTGCCATATGGAGTTGTATGACGCAATGGAATGAAGGTTTGGCCCTTTAATATTAGAGTGTTTGTCCAGTCATTTTTTTTTTTTCATAGAGTAGGGTAGAATTAGTACCTTTGTGTTATACTTCTATTTGGTGCTTTGTTAGCGATATTTTCAATCAACCTTCCCTCTGTCTCATTGACTATGGTTTTACCTAACCGGAAGTGAGAGAATATTTGTTACAGGGGCAAAGCAAGCTATAAAAAGCTTATGGAGTTCTACCTTTCCCTACTAAAAATTGTACTTTTATTTCTGCCAATGCTGTTTTAGATTTTTTCTCACTTCCTGCCTGATAAAAGCTTTGCCAACAGGACAGTGAGGTCAACTTTTCTAACACATCTTTGGAAATCAGTAAAAACACGAGGGGTTCAGATCTTCCCTTCTCAAAATTACACCAAATTTTGGTGTATACGTTTATGTTTTTTTTACAACACCTTTAATTTCATGACTAGCTCCTATGATATACAATCACTAAGTGATAAACTCAGATTAAATTAATATGTTATCCATTGCTTATTTAGCTGTTCTAAGCTCAGGATATTTTTGACATAAGTACATAAAATCTACACCGCTTAAAGTCATGGCCAAACATTATGTTTGTTGAAACCTAAGTGTTAGCATTTTGGTTGTTTGGACCCCAGGTTTTTGATTGATACTTGCAAAAAACATGCAGTACATTGCAGATCTGAAAACCAGAGGATCACTAAACTGATGCTGGTTTCCCATTGGTTTTACACCACTGTTATGTAACAGAAATGCAGGTGCTGGAAATTGTTGGGTGCATTTTCTCTTTATTGGGGGGGGGGGTTATCTATGCACCAATGATACAGTATAGACTGTAGCTATACAATCATATGACTTTGTTCTTTTCCATAATGGCTCACACACCTTCACTGCAATCATGAAGACATGAGTAAGTCTTTCATTTGCCCTGTTGCTGATCCATATAGTCTATATATTGTTTGTGATTTTTTTTTTTTTAAATAAAAATAGGGAAAATCAGAGTTTAACAAAGGCAGAGCAGTAATTCCACGGCTACTCAGGTGGTGAAGTTTCTTGCTTTTAAACAGTTTGCATATCCAGGGTACCTGTCATGAATCTTATACAGAGACTTTTGACAGTAAGCAACTTTTTTTCTGAGCAAATGCACCCATTGTGATACAATTTACATCTATGCATGCACACCTAGCACATGTCAATGCATGTACATAGTGCTAGTATGTGTTTGATGTGATGATGGATGTTGTTTTTTTATGCTTCTGCAGCCAATATGGGGCCTATTCATAATGCATGTAAGAATGCACTCTAAAAGGGTGAATCCAGGCTTTGATAGCAATTATCAATGTTCAGGCTGAATTTCTGAACTGTCGCAAACTCTGCTGTAATACATCGTGGCCTAGCAAGGCCACCTCCAAGTTTTGTTAAAATCCTGATCTAAAGTCAAAATTTAGGCTTCTTTTCTTTGCTTGTAGTTAGGACACATCTGATGGCTATCATATCAAACCATAGTTTACAAAGGCTGTATAAGATCATAAAGGAATTACATACAGGCTACCATTCCATTGTCTTTCATTTGGTATTTTTTAAAGTTATCCTCTTTAGGCCATAAAATGTGGGAGCACTTTCAGTGGTTCTGTCCTTGTATATGGAAATCCAAAGCTGACAACAGTTTATTTTTATTGTGTTTGTTCCTTTAGTGCTAATCTGTTTACGTGGAAGTCGGTTGATACTACTTGCAAAAAGTCTTTTAAATGTTTTGTAGTGAAAGGTTTGTCTCATAATGGTTATCAATGTCACTGAACATGTTTGTTATTAACTGTGACCAGGCTCTTGGTATCCAAATTTGGATACTATAACCATCATAGCTTATTTGGCATCTGGACATCTTTATGTTGTTGTATATCTTTGGGTGAACCATAGACTTTATCAGTTTTCATGGTAGCTTCCAGTTTCGTGGAACCTTTATTCTATTTTGTGATTCTAATGATTGTCAATTAACTGGCAATTTTGTACTTTAGCCTTCTATTTGTCTGGACAAAAGAATGAGCACATTCTTTTGATTGGTAAATTAAGTACAAAATAAGACACCTAACAGAGATACACTATATTGCCAAAAGTATTGGGACACCCCTCCAAATCATTGGATTTTTGTGTTTCAATCACCTCCATGGCCACAGGTGTATAAAATCAAGCACCTAGGCATGCAGACTGCTTCTACAAACATTTGTGAAAGAATGGTTTTCTCTAAGGAGCTCAGTGAAGTCAAGCGTGGTACCATTATAGGTTGCCACCTGGGCAATAAGTCCATCTGTGAAATTTCCTTGCTACTAAACATTCCACGGTCAACCGTTATTATATGTGGTATTATAACAAAGTGGAAGCAACTGAGAACAACAGCAACTCAGCCACTAAGTGGTAGGCCACATAAAATGACAGAGCGGGGTCAGCACATGCTGAAGCACACAGTGCGCAGAAGTTGCCAACTGTCTACAGAATCAGTAGCTAAAGACCTCCCAACTTCATGTGGCCTTCAGATTAGCACAACAACAGTACATAGAGAGCTTCATGGAATGAGTTTCCATGGCCAAGCAGCTGCATCTAAGCCTTACATCACTAAGTACTGCAAAGCGTCTGATACAATGCATGCCACCAGCTCTAGTCTGGTGAGATGTGTTCTTGGGAGTGATGAATCGCACTTCTGTGTCCGGCAATCTGATGGCTGTGTCTGGGTTTGGTGGTTGCCAAGAAGGAGAATGGTACTTGCCTGACTGCATTGTGCCAAGTGTAAAGTTTGGTGGAGGCGGGTTATGTTGTGGGGTTGATTTTCAGGGGTTGGGCTTGGCCCCTTAGTTCCAGTGAAGGGAACTCTTAAGGCGTCAGCATACCAAGACATTTTGAAAAATTTCCTGCTCCCAACTTTGTGGGAAGAGTTTGGGAATGGCCCCTTCCTATTCCAACATGACTGCACACCAGTGCACAAAGCAAGGTCCATAAAGACATGGATGAGTGAATTTGGGGTGAAGGAACTTGACTCACCATGATTCTGAGTCCTGACCTCAACCTGATAGAACACCTTTGGGATGAATTAGAGCAGAGACTGCGAGCCAGGCCTTCTTGTCCAACATTAGTGCCTGACCTCACAAATGCGCTTCTGGAAGAATAGTCAAAGTTTCCCATAGACACACTCCTAAACCTTGTGGACAGCCTTTCCAGAAGAGTTGAAGGGGCTATAGCTGCAAAGGGTGGGCCAACCCCATATTAAACCCTACGGACTAAGACTGGGACGCCATTAAAGTTCAATTGCGTGTAAAGGCAGATGTCCCAATACTGTTGGCAATATAGTATAGATATACAGCATACGTGTTAATCTTTGATATGGAATTCATTTTTAAAGCTCCATGAATCAGGAAAATAAAGGCTAAAACTGGGATATTATCAATTATTGAACCTATAGACCTCTGTAAGGGTGATGGTGGCCATGGATGAATTGGGAGAACAAACACCTCTTCAGTTTTTGATGACCAGAACCATGAACACTCTTCATTTTTGGTTGGCCTTGAAAACATTTGTGCTCACCCATCACTGGTTTAGGCTGAAGGCAGTTTAAATTGCCTCCATTTCCATTGATACTATACTATGGATCCTGCAATCCCAACACAAATATAAATAATCCTATTCTTAAGCACACTCTTCCCACTAGTGATTATAGTACATAATCTACACTTTCTCCAAGGATTTGTCAAACCCAGACAATTCCAACATTGAATAATGTGTGGCCTGAAGTGCAAATATAACAATTTCTCCGCAAAAGGGAAAAAAACCCTTCAGAGATATTTCATTGTCTACAAGTTAAAATTAACATCACCTCATCAGCCCACAGTTCCTCATCACTTCAAAGGCTCAGTACTTTGAATACTACTGCCTACAAGACTCCTAAGGCAAAGGCTTTCTCTTGACTATAATGTACTGTATATCTGTGCTTATTGGAGGGCCAACACCAAACTCTTTTACCCTATGTAAGATATTGGGGAAGAAACCAAATAGACATTTAGACTCATTGTAAATGTGTCAAATCTGGGACACCATAGCTCCATTAACTCAAAGGCTGTTGAGGCTAACTATAGGCTGTTAATGCTCAGGTACATGGTGCCCCAGAGGTTGGCCAAATTTGTCTTTGGGGCCTATTCTTGCCACTTCTAGGGTTGCACATACATGGGCTTGCTTCTCTCCATTTTGTGGGATTGTCTAAAATCAGATCCATCTGAGACTTTGTTAAACCTAATGTCAGAGATATCAGAGGGGTGTCCTAGCTCCCAAGTTAATCTTATAACTTTTGTCTTTATGGCAAACCTTAGCTAAAGCATGGAAATCAGCTACCCCAACACTAAGACAAGTTAAGCAGAAGACGTCTTAAAGCTGTGACTTTATAGGGATGATATACTAAAAGGCTGTTCACTTTGCAAGAGTTGTACTTTGCAAGGGAATTTTCCCCAGAGCACAGTGAATGTTATTAGATTTTATGTTGCAAAGAATATTCAGTCATTTGCAAGGAAATTCAAACAACAGCATTTTTGCTTGCCCATAATTGGAAGATGAAAGTCAGCAGACCTTTACATCATTCACTAAGCTCTGGTGAAAATTCCCTCACAAAGTGCAACATCAGTTGCACAGTGAACAGTTTTATTTACTTTTAGCCCTATGCCTAAATTGGAAAGGGTCTGGACACCATGGACAACACAATACATGTCTCTAAACTTTGAATACACATTGCTCACTATACAGTATGATAAGCTCTTGAGTTTGTAATTAGCATGTCTACGCCACCACAAGCCTTCCCTCCTCCCCCTTCACCTCTTATCTCCCTTCCCCTCTTGTTCCACTTGTTTCCATCCCCATCCTTTTTCTTCTTCCCATATTTAGAATTTTTTCTTCTTCATTACCCCTATTTTTACATCTTAATTTCTTCTCCATTAACTATCTTTCTCTGTGCCTCTTTTGAATAGACCAAAAGGTCCATAATTTGCAGGTGCATTTAGCCATCTTACCAAATGTTAGCGTACAGTATAATAATCCTTGTAGCATGATATTTACTTTATGATTGTATTCTATACTATATATCTTTTTGTCAAAGCCTGTTATGCTTTTGGAAGGCAATATAACCTGTGTACTGAAGTACCTTGTTTTATTTCCAAAAACTCAATCTAATACTTGTCCTCCTTGTGAAAATGCTAATTTCTGGGCAGTAATATTTATCCTCTGACCTCAGACATTCTGTGCCAATAAGCTGGAAAGATCATGCAGTAAATGAAGTCACAACTGATCTGCGTCAGGGGCGGACTGACCATTTGGAAACCTGGGCACTGCCCGAGGGCCGGGGTCAGTAGGGGGCCCCATGAGATGCTCCTGGTACCTTTTTCATAGGCTTTTTTGAGTTTGGTCAAGGACACAGGGGCCCCATGATCCCCTATTGCCCGGGGGCCCCATGAGTTGTCAGTCCGCTCCTGATATGCGTGCTTGTTGAAGGTTGATGAGCCAAAAAGATTTGAAGACACCAACTTTACAGCAAAACTACGAAACTTTATTTAGTAAGAAAATGTGTGGAAACTTTTTGAAGACCCTCTGTATCAGCATTTTTAGGAGGCAATGACTTTCTGTAAGGTGAACCTGTGTTTTACCCATGAAATGTCCCTTTCCCAGCAACTTTTACTTACTTTCCTTCCACTCCTATTCCATGTCTTTTAAGGCAAACAAAGACAGCCATGTGTAAGCTCACGTTGTTTCTCCATTCAAAGTTTACACTGTTACCCTACCCCCATGTTAAAAACACTGGGCCAATCTCCAAGCACAAGCATCGTTACATGGAGTAAGACACATCTTACTCCATACCCCAAATTACCACTTCATTTTCTTGCTGCTGACAGCGGAACAGCAAGGGGGACCAAAGGGAAGGTGGGTACGTGTTGTATTTAGGCTTTAAGGCGCACCTGTTGTTTTTCCTTGCATAGCAAAAGCAGAGGTTTGCCTTAAGCTAACTTTTTGGTTTAACAGAGGAAAATGAAGGCCCTAAAACAGCTGCAATTTCAAATAAACAAAAGGCCAAGGAGGAAAAAAATACTTAAGTTAAAGATCTCTTTAATTGCTTCTGGGGTTCACCTAGCTGAGGGCCATGTCAGATTAGCAATCCATCAATCTGCCAGCAGCAGGATTGCTATGCAGGACACAGAAGGACAGTAGATAACTCATCTGATGGCATGTGTCAATCCCTTGCCAGCTGAATGATGGAGGCTTACTCTCTTGTGAGCGATTTACATTTTGCAGTGTTTTTGACAGCAAGAGTGCCATGCTTTCTGACAAGGAGCGACACATGCATTGGATGTTTTCACTGCACATTTTAGAGACCCAATAGCTGGCCAGTGTCAAAATTGCTAGTGTGACAGGAGCCTAACAGATGTCAAATAAACAGTTACAATATTGAATTACCAAGGTCTTGGTCACAGTTACACCAAACAACTTGTTCCCTATGGAAACGTATAACCTAGGTCCAGGGTCTTAAAGGATAGGTTCACTTTAAAAATAAATAAATAAATAAATAATACATGCCTTTTTTTTTACAGGTAATAAATGTGCATTTACTTATAGATACAGTCTGACAGAAAGACTCAATGAACTACCACGGCGCTCCACAGAGCCGTGGTAGTTCATTGAGAACTACAAGCCGATAACCACAAAGGACAGAACTTTGTGAATGAATAATGCAGCCAAGTGGGTGTAGCACCACAGGGCTGCGCTGTTTTTAAAAAGTGACAGCTACTACGGGGAGCTTCTCCCTGTACAGATGTCACGGGGAGAGAAGACAGCAGGCGGCGGCTACAACAGTGGGAACATGTTACATGTTCCACCCTAAAAATGGGTGAAACATGTAACATGTTCCCAAAGGTGAACTTATCCTTTAAGATGACTTGTTTGTTACAAAGTTTTATCATGCTTACAATATAGTTGTAGCCAAGGAGGTTCTCTGTCAGTACCTACGCATGCTCTTCTGAGGGTTAAGTTTTTGAGGTAATAAGTCAAATTAACAGATGTGCTGTAAGGAATTCGCATGAGCTGAAATGGATTTATGACTCCATTGTCTACAAGAAAATGCCCAGAAGGGATGGAAGTTAAACTATGCCTACATTTATGTTGTAAAGGTTGGAGTTAGTCCAAAAGAAAGCCTTTTGTTTGTCAGCGGTACCCAAGACTTAGCCATTTTGTGCACTTCTGAGTGCAGTGTATGCAAATTTAGATGTTCTACAATTTTACAATACTTGTTATGAAGATCACAATAGCTTGTTGCCATAATGACAATACTTTTTCTACCCTATCCTCTTTAATAAGCACTGACATGATTTTTAGAGGCATTTGGGGGGGGATTTACTAAAATTTGAGAAGACAGAATCTGGAACAACTGTGCATTGTAACCAATCTGCTTCTATCCTCAGCTTGTTTAGTTAAGCTTTAAAAATGAAAGATAGAAGCTAATTGGTTGACATGCACGGCTGCTCCAAATTCTGTCTGCTCCAGTAAATTCCCCTCATTCTATTTTACTATTCTTTGGAGTTAATCATAATGTTTGCCTTGATCTTTAAACATTCTTTTTCACCACTGGGAGTGATGAAATAAGATGTGCCTAGTGTATCCTATGGAATAGATTTTTCTTTTTGTGGAATGAATAGGAAATGTTTTTGTTGCAGTGACCATTCACAGTTTATCCAGCACAATCTGAGTACCTAAAATCATTACTAATGTACATT